ATCAAAATCAGAATTATATATATATATATATGTGTGTGTGTGTGTGTATATATACACACACAAACATATAGTAACCCTAGCCTTTAGTCGCTTAAAAATTCACTTGCCTTGTAGACAGCTTTGTTAATTATAATTATATCAATCTATACAGTATTTATTGCATTGCTCACTTGCAGTTTAGACATTGTAATTCAAGACATGAAGTGTACTGTATCATATCATCATATCATATATAACAGCAGCCACATGACATTTTTAGACATTCATGAATAGAGGCAAGGCTATATAATGATGCTCATTTTCCAGCACTACAGCAGAGCAAGACATCATTTCCACTGCGTCTTTCAACAACAAACGCATGCTGGGAATCCTTTGCTGCAAGCTGTATAACATATGCTGCATATAAAAGTACATTTCTGATTGGATTACATTCCCTTACTGGATTCAGTATAGTTTTATAGAAACCACTGGCAATGCATCAGTTGCAGTCAGTTTCTTTGGATACACAGCACAGTGCCAAATGCCCCAACTGTAGTGCTTGGTTTCATATTTAATATGCTGAAATAAACTTCAGATATTCTCTGCTCAGCAGACATTCTGCTGAGTTTATCATCAGTAAAGACACATCATGCAACCGTAGCAGCTCGGGTGGTTAAAATAAATATTTCTCTCTGTATCTCTAACCTTGTGAAATGAATTCATTAGAGGTTGCAGCTGAAAGTTGCAATAAGCAAAAAATAACCCTAACCCAACACTGGAGCTGCAACAAATTGCATCAGGACAGTTTAATTCAAATTGGCGAGACATGCAAGTAACAAACGTAGTCTCATTATTTGATACATGAAGAATCCTTACCCCTTTTAAAGAAGGGTGTGTTAGAACTAAACTGATGGTTTGCTAAGGCTGTCGATCTGCTGAACATCAAACAATGCTATAACTTCTTGCTTTCCTGTATTCTGCTTCAGCTCTCTTTCCCTTGACAAACTGTATGCATGTATGTATGTGTATTTTAGAGCAGTTTAAATGTTTAGTCTAGTTAATAAAGTCTTTTTCATATCACACGTAAAGTTGTCCATGTCTCAAGCTCATATCTGGAGTAACTTATCATAGATCTTGACTAACTGCTCTTAGTAGTACTGTCATGATTCTGCCATCATGTCTTAGATTTTTCCTGGTCTTGTGGCAGGATCATGACAGTCCCATGTTTTGTGTACAAGCGCATGGCCTGTTTGGACCATGTGCTTGTGTTGTCTCGTTACATAACCCTGCCCTCTTGTTATCCTCGCCTTGTCATTATGGGCTATATGCATGCATAAGTTCCGCATTTGACGCAAGGATGCTCGTCCATTTCCGGTTGTGGAGATTAAAGCGGAGGAAAACCGAGGAAAACGGGACTATGGCAGAGTCCCGTCATTGAAACAAAACGTACATACGTTTAGATGTAATTTTATATATAGTTATGTTTATTTAATATAATTTTTAAAAGAAGCATAAACACAACGAGGGGTGTCTGTTTTATCTGTTTTTGTGACTAACGTTCCTTTAGTATAACCATGGAGTATAAAATTCAATATAAATTCTCAGTATTGCATTGGACTCCACGATCGGCGGAAGTTATCGAGCATCCTTACACCTTCACCGGAAATACTGCCGTGCATAGAGCCCATTATCTAGTCAGTTTCACCTGTCCTCGTCATTTAGTGTTCCCTATTTTATCCCCTTGTGTTTGCTGTCCTGGGTTGGTTCATTGTTTGACGTGGTCATACTTTGTGTTTGTATCAATCCGTGAGTAACCTGTTGAGAGTCTTGTCTACAAGAAGAGTTTGTTCCTGTCAAAGTTGTTAGTTTATAGTCTTAGTCTAGTGTGTTTTACCCTGTCTTGTTTTGTCCCATCGTGGGTTTTGCTTTCTGTCTTTGTCCTTAAATAAACCCCTTTGAGAATCAGTTTCTGATTCAATTGGGTTCATCCTTCATCCACATAACAAGTACTTAGTAAGAAAGTCATTTCCCATGCCCCGGAAATGTGCATTTCTATTAATTAATTAATAACCAATATTGAGTGTTGACAAGATGAACTGAGTAAGTGGTGTAATGTTAATGTAGCATCAAACCGATTAACTGATCCGAATATTCATAATATTATAACAAGCTATGATTGATTATTAATAATTCATAGAGCTAATTAGCTACATTGTGTACATAAAGATATGGTAGAATCCGGCTTGTTACATACTGTAGATGGTCAGAAACGCATTCAGTCTTTCCACTGGCAAATTCTGCCATTGCACAATTCAGGACCAATGACCAACAGGACCCAAAGTATCTGCAGTTCTCAGGCCCTGTTTACATGAGAACACTCGCGGGTGAAAACGTAAAAATATTTTATCGGATGTGCCTTTCGTTTACACGGCGACGCCGTTTTTAGGGTTTAAAAACGCAAAAAAGTGAAACCACCCTCCAGAGTAGAAATCTTAAAAACACACCACCGCCGTGTTCCCGTGTAAACGGTAAAAACGCAAAAGTCTGCTTGACAGTGAAGGTTGTACGCAGACGCGCAGACTTGGTGTTGTTGTGTGACAGTGCTTCACGTTGCCACCTAGCTGCCTGGAGTGCATACTACATAGAATTTCACACTCTTTTGCGTCACCAGATGCACGCGGATTTTCCATCAAAAACGCTCGTCTAAACGCAGAATAAAAAGTGACAACGCAACACCACTTTTGCGTTTTCTCTTCAGAATCGTTTCCGTGTAAACATAGCCTCAGACTTTGATTCTTTTAGACCATGCGCTGGGCACGCCAACCATTTTTCCCGTCATTAAACAAGACAACACTGGATTCGGACACACCCTAAGTGCACCGTGCTCTTTAGACCATGCACTTAGGTCGTTAAAATAGGGCCCTAGAGGATGCAGTCGTTAACGTCCTTGTTAGCGTGCCCACCTCCCATCCCAGAAAAGCCAGTTTGAATCCTGCTCAGAGTGGTAAGAATAGAACTGGAGGGGTTACACAAAATATTTTTAATTCCAATCTTCCCAAACAAATTGTGGTTATATACAGTAGGTGAGGCCTGGTCATAGTTGTAGAGACTTTCTGACCAACAAGACACAATTAGCATCTGCAATTTTCAGACTTACAATCCTTACAGTTTGTTTGGCAACTCAAACCATCCTCCATGATTGGCGACTAGGAATTTGTCCTGCATGTCACTTTATATTTAGAACCCAGCGAAACAGGAAGTAATGACTTATAACTTAAGTGTTCCTGTAGTGATCAGGTGAACTTACTTTAGTTAGATTTTTTTTTCTAATTAGAATTTAGGGGTGCTAATAATTGTGGAATACATTTTTTTCAGCTATTTAAATTTAATTAAAGGTTAATCAATGCCATTTGCACTTATAGCTATTTATTACAGAGAAACACACATTGCCATCAAACAGTCTTTATTTGTAAACACTGAACTGCAACACAAAATGCAGTGCTATGAATGAAGAATTAAGCAAGATACTTAAACAAACATTTATTTTCATGCATGAAGTTAAGCTGCTGTTGGTTAAACTTTGTGATAAAATTGAAACTATTTCATGGGAACAGGAAGCATTTTTGCTTCAAAGAATGTACTAGCCACATTCAGCAGAAGACAGAGATGTGATGCCAGTCTACCTTGAACTCTAATGAGAGTTATTGGATTCATTAATCACCAGTGCCAATGATGTTTGCAGGTGCTCTGTCTCTCTCCTTTCTGTTTTTCATAAAAAGAAATGTCATTCTGTTTGTGGGTGGTGTTTTGATATTTTAATCAAAGCATCTGCCTATCAAACCTGTCAAGCTATATTTTTTACATACCCTTTGTATTGTATTGTCTGAGTTGTTTTTGAGCTTAGAGGTTTATTTTACAGCAACCATTGCTATTCATCTTTTATTGGAACTGCAGCAAATTTGAAAATCTATATGAACCAAATATAAAGTAAAATAAGATAAAGACCCAGTAAAGAGCATTGATGAGGTTGGTTAGAAAAAAAAAATACAGCAGTAATTTAGCAGAAAAGCGAATGAATACTTCCATATGGATCACTCTGTAATGTCATTTTGGTTTGAATTTATTGGAGCATTAGGAGACAAACTCTATATACTCATTGTTAGTCTTAAAGCAAGCTTTGCTAGTAATTAAAGGGTTAACTCCAGTTTGGCTTTATTGATTTTGATCGGCTCACACACTAAATCTCATCTGGACACAGAAAGGCATCAAGATCCAATTGGCAATTCCTTTAGAGTTTACTGAAAAGATAATTGATTGGGAAGCCATTTAATTTACTTTTCGTCAATTCTTGAGAACAATCAATAATCAAACAACTCAGTCAGCCATGTCATGGAGATTATCTAACAGGATTAATATGACTTTACTTTCTCTTAAGCATGTTTTAAAAGAAAGTCAAAGAGACATTTTTATTTAGGTTGCTTTTACTTTTTGTAGATCAATTGATCATGGTTACATACAATGATTATACAGGGTTGTACATTAATAACTAAGTTTGAGTGAATCATTGCTTATTGAATCAATCTTGTCAAGGTAAAAACAAAAACATCTTTACATGATCTTCTACAAACTGTCTGAGATACTCGTTATGGATAGACTAAGGAAATGCACTGACACTCCAACAGTGTCAACCAATGGATTTTTCTTTTACTTTTGTCTTCAAAGTATCGTCCCTTGCCCTGATTTTTAAGATCCCTTAGCTCTGAACTATGATCAAAGAAACTGCTCTCTGTGGACACAGAGTATCGAACTAAGCATTTGACAAGGGCCTGTCAAAAGCTGTATCCATAGCAACCTATAACATGAGGGAGGCAGGAGCAGACACACACACACACACACAACTTCACAAACACTTTTGTTCACACAGCTGCGGAAATAGTCACAAGTGAGTTGCAGCAAATGCGTTGGACTAGATAGTCTTCTTATTAATTAACACATTATTATAAAAGCTGTAATGTACTTACAGTGTGTAGGAGTCTGTGTTTTTGTGTATATCAAGGGACTTGGATTCCTTTATACTTTTCATAATAACCAATTACCACTTTCACTTCGATGAAACTCACATGCAAACATATAACAGTGTGTGTAAGTGTTTAACCTCAAGGTACAAAGTTCTATCTCACTTTATTATATAATAGCTGTTCAGGTTATCCAGCAGTGTGTGTACTATAAATATTGGAGAGAACAAAAGAGCAGTTGACTAATGCAGTATATGTGTGCTGCCATCTGTTTAAATATATTAGCAATGCCAGACAAAATCCATGGGCCTATATTTATAGCTATGATGTGCAAGAAAAGACTAGGACACCCATCACCCGCTAATGGAGAGAGCATTTACATATTCATATTAATGGTGAGCATCAAAAAGAGGCTCAAGGTATTTAAAATATATCCATAGCATACATTTATGGACTAAATGAATAAATATGAATATGTATAAATATAACAAAATGTAAAAAATAATATATTGTATTAAATGTAATTAGTGTTATGTTGCCTCAATATGTATTAATTTGTAACATTTATTTATAAATATTTTATGCATATACATATATACACCCATCACCTGCAAATGGAGAGAGCATTTACATATTCATATTAATGGTGAGCATCAAAAAGAGGCTCAAGGTATTTAAAATATATCCATAGCCTACATATATGGACTCAATAAATATGAATATGTAAAAATATAACAACATGTAAAAATAATATATTGTATTAAATGTAATTAGTGTTCTGTTGCCTCAATATGTATTAATTTGTAACATTTATTTATAAATATTTTATGCATATATATATATACATATATACACCCATCACCTGCAAATGGAGAGAGCATTTACATATTCATATTAATGGTGAGCATCAAAAAGAGGCTCAAGGTATTTAAAATATATCCATAGTCTACATATATGGACTCAATAAATATGAATATGTATAAATATAACAACATGTAAAAATAATATATTGTATTAAATGTAATTAGTGTTCTGTTGCCTCAATATGTATTAATTTGTAACATTCATTTATAAATATTTTATGCATATATATATATATATATATATATATATATATATATATATGTATATATATTCTGCAAAGACACACAACACCTCAAGCTTCTTTTAATGTTGTATACATATGTCAAATATATATTTAATAGGGAAATATATTTGTATTAACAATAAATTAACAATTAATACATTATTTGTATTAACAATAAATTAACACAGCACCTCAAACATCTTTTAATAATCACCATTAATTAATAAAAAAATACACACACACACACACACACACAAACGCACACAAACGCACACACACACACACACACACACACACACACACACACACACACACACACACACACACATATATATATATATATATATATATATATATATATTGTGAGCATCGATTTCATTAGACTGGTACACATACATTCAGATGAAGAACAGTTTTTGTTCTTTTTCAGTATCCATTAGTAGGTCACACTGCAAACATCCATCATATCTATTTTAAAGAATTACACATACACACAAGCTCTTCTTTGAACAGAGAAATATTGCTATAGTGCTAAGAGCTAAGAGCCTTTTACAGCTATAACTTGACATTATAACAAAGACCCTGACAGATCCAATATGTCCGCAGCACAGTGTACACAAACACACACACATTTTTTCTTCCTTTTCTACTCCGTCCTCCCCCCTCCCTCATCTCTCCCAGTCAACCTTGACTGGAAGAAAAGCAATTTATTTCTACATGGCTTAGATAATGAATAATAGATGTTATCCAGTGATTTGGGTTTGTCATGGCTGTGCGCGGTACTTTCAGAGGCTCAGAAGTTCAAGGCTTGTTATTGAAATCCATTAGGAAGATGGAAAATGAGACTGATGGTAAATATAAGTGAATTTCATGGACATAACAGAAAAAAGGTAACTGAGGTTAATGTTAATCTTCCTCTGAAAATAACAGTGTTTGTGCATGCGTACATGCGAGTATCTGTTTGGGTTTGTATGCAAGCAACTGTGTGTTTATTTTGTACAATTTTGTACTGTATGTGCAAATGTCCCTATGTGTGTGTGTGTGTGTGTGTGTGTACTGAACTGCAGTAATATCCATTATATATATTGTGTTCTGCTTGCTTGTCTCCCTTGAGTTACCCAAGGGGGATGATATTACATTTCATCACACTTTCATTTTCTACTACAGATGAGGGACAGTAGAAGAGGAGAACAGCAGCAGTCCCGTGGCATGTATGAGTCAAATCTGTCTCACATATACTCACTGTCTCTCTCTTACACACAAACGCAGCTCAGGGGGCTGAAGTAAAATGAGTTACCATCTGTTATCATGTGAAACCTGCCTTATTGGAACACAAAAGAGAGAGGCAATGACAATAAAGGTTCACTTCTTTTTGTTATTGACTAACCACAAACATTTCCACTGATTTCCTTCGTGATTTCAGTGACAATTTACATATTTTCTTCCTTTGTTTTGAATTATCATTGTTTGGCATCACATGTTTTTGCTCTATGCATACATGCACATAAAGATAATTTTACAATGTCCAAGCAAATTTAATTGACACTAATAATAAAGACTTTAAACCAAATCCATACACACACAGCTTTATTAAGCTGGCTCATAATGAATTAAAAAAAAAAAAAACAAGATCAAATGACAGAGACATTTATAGGACTTTCAGTAATGAGCACCCACAGTAAAGATGCTGCCGCTGCTGAGTGCCACATCATATAAAAGACTCTCTCACAGCAGGTGTGGGATTACAAACATGGCTAATATGTAATAATAATAATAATAATTGTATTTTTATAGCGCCATTCCAATGCCCAAGGTCGCTTTACAAAGTTCGGTTTAGGAATACTGATAAATAGCACACTTCCATAACAGAGAATATTACACATACCAGGAGCTAAAGAGTGTGGGGGGTTTTCTGCAAAACACTTTGAGTGAACTTGTCCAGAAATGTTCTACATGTAAGGAACTATTATTATCATCTGGCATTATCTGGAACTTGATTCTGATTGGGCAATCATGGCATTCGGCAATCAGATATCTCTTAATAGAGTGCAATAATGCCCAACCACTTTTTCAGCTACCTTGGAATATGTATTTTTGGTAACACTTTATTTGAAGGGGTGTGCATAAGACTGACATGACACTGTCATAAACATGACATAACACCTATCATGAACATGAAGGAGTCTTTATGAATGTTTATGACTGTTGTCATTAAGTGTCATTCGGTAAATTATGACACTTTAAATGCAAAGTTGACATTGTTTAAAATGTCTTTGTTATGACAACTTGACATTAACCAAGAAATTATAACCTGTCAACCTGTCACAAATATGTCATAACAGGTCTAATTATTAATTATCTAATTATAGTACTAAATAGTTATTTAGCTTTGTGTTAACATTACATTACCCTGTCATGTGTTATGGTTGGTTTTAACTTTGGTTGTCATGACACCATTATAACTGTAACATGAATATTTTACTTGTCCTCAAGTAAAGTGGAACACATTGCACTAGTTATAAAGATGTCATTAAGGGCTATTACACTGTCAAATGCTTTAACAACAGTGTCAAATAAACCTTAGGTAAAGTGGAACACGTTTGACTAGTTATGATTTCTTGGTTAATGTCAAGTTGTCATAACACTTCTGTCTTTGTTAATGTCAAGTTGTCATAATCAAGACATTTTTGTCTTGGTCAGTGTCAAGTTGTCATGACAAAGACATTTTAAACAATGTCAACTTTGCATTAAAAGTGTCATAATTTACCAAATGACACTTAATGACAACAGTCATAAACATTCATAAAGACTCATTCATGTTCATGACAGGTGTTATGTCATGTTTATGACAGTGTCATGACAGTCTTATGCACACCCCTTCAAATAAAGTGTTATCGGATTTTTTTACGTATTAATTTTAAACCATGAACTGAATCAACCAAGATGAAATGAATTATTACAAAATTGTATTTAAAAATTTAACAAAAGGGCAAAGGTACAAGACGTAATGGTTTTAATGAGGGAAAGAATGTCTCTGGTTACTCGCGTAAACGTAGTCCTCTGAGAAGAGGCAACACGACTTTACGTATGTGGCAAAACGCTTGAACAGAACTGGTCCGAACTGCATAAACACACTGTTCACTGACAGGGCCTGCAAGTCTCCCACTCATTTCCCGCAATCCAGCATGTGTGGAAGCGCCATCTTAACTGACAGCACTTTAAGGTCGCTAGATTCGGCTAGTTCGAAGGGAGGTTCGGACAGCGCACTGAGCACTAAGGACAGGTCACAAACTGGCATCTGGCGAAGGTGGGAAGGATTGAACGGCTATACGGATTAAGGGTGTTTTCCTACCGAATAACCATTTATCATATCACGAAAGGTGGCAATTGCGGCCACTTAGACTTTCGCTTTAGATGGGGAGCTGCCTGCGTCTAGACGTTCCTGCAGGAAGGTCAGAATAATGGAAATATCACAACCCTTGACTTGCTGCTGAGACCGTCTAGGCAGCAGGTGCGGTATCTTCTTTGACTGTTTCAAGATCTCAGCATCCTTTTCAGAAAAGGCCTCGACCGCAACGCCAAAAAGACCCTACGGGCTTACCGGTGCATCCAGGAACGTCAGCCACAGATGGCAGTGCAGAACTACAAGACTGCCCATGTTAAGGCCAAGCCCTTGAGCGACCTTCTTAGAGGCGGCCAGAGCCATATCCGTGGTCGAGTGCAGCTTCCTGAGGGACTCGGGGTCCAGGCCTACTTCATCCAGGGACCCCAAGAGTAGAGTTTGAAAGACCTGTAGGATTGTCATCGTGTGGAGGGCAGATGCTGCGTGTCCAGCCAAAATATATGCCTTCTCGGCGATGTGAGCAGTGGCTCTAAATGGCCTGGAAGGCAAAGAGGCTGTTTTCCATCCGGGGATGGACATAAGTGGGCCCCGATG